CATGAGTTGACCTGGATACATTTCAATACATAAAAATGTGCTATACGCTATCAATAAATAATCATTGATGGATGTTATACTCAAGTTACAGGAAAAAGAGGACTACGCTTTGAGCAGGAGAAAATGATTTAATTTTAGGCTGTACTGTATATTAGAAGAGTGTGGGAGCAAGGTTTATTAAACCTTGTAAGTCTCTGTTCTTTTATGTATAAAATATGGATCATATTAGCAAATTACTCATGATTAAATAAAAGTGATAAGAAAGGTTATGAATTCAGGCACATAGTAGGAGATTCAATCTATCAGAAAATAGCTGACAAGTTCAAAGGATCAATTAGTGAGATTTATTAGATATTTTTTACAAGGTATAGACAGTGTTTAGCAAACCAACAAGGAAAGAGATGTTATCAAGAGAGTTCACAAAAAGAAAGGGGATCAAGAGGGTAGTGAAATGTGCAGAAAGAATTCTTCCTTCTGGAGAAGACTACCTTCTAGGAGCTCAGGCTTTGATAAAATAACTGAAACTGAAAACTCTTACTTTATGCCAGTACTAATAGACAAATCCAATCAAAAGGTAGGGGAATAGGGCATCATTGATCCAAATTTTAAAGGCCAGCCTTCTAGGAAATGAGAGGGATGAAAATTGTGCCTTTTTTTTTTTTTTTTGGATAAACACACACATACCATTTTATTTCTATTTTTACATCTGAAGATGACATAATTCCTTAGCATCTGATTGTTTCTAGTAGCTTCAACATAATGGAATGTAAAATTTAGCATCTTTCTAAGAAAATAAAAAAATAGTTTATTCTTAGCTAAATATGGGTGACCATGACCTGGATTCAAGTTACCCTGAAGCACATATTCTACTGTGCAGGAAGTTACATGAACTTTTATAGTTTCAGAGTAAAAGAAAGCCATAAATCAATTCATTTACCAATTACACTGGTGGGAACATTGGGCGGGGAAGGGGCTTCAGCAAGGCAGGGAGATTTAACATTTTTTTAAGAGTCAAAATCTTAATAAATTTGCTCTGACATTTGCAATACTATTTTCTTTCAAATACTCAGCTTCATTCTTATAATTGGGAAGTTTTCTCTTTTTTTTTCCATTAAGTTTATTGGTACATTTTAGGTATACAGTACAGTTATATTCATCATTGGGATCTTGTACCTTTATGTGATGCATCTTGGTTCTTATTTTTTTCCCCCTTCCCCTGCCCTCCCTTCACCCCCTCCACTTTTCCTTATTTACAAAGACTTTGTTTCCATTGTTTTCTTTTCTCATATTTTTTCTTTTTCCTTCTTTTCTTTCCTCTACCCCTCCCACTTCTCCCACTCCTTTAGAACTTTTCTTCCTATTACACAATATCAATTATATATTTTGATCCTTATTTACTCTTTTAGTTTTTCAAACCAGAGAAACTATTTGGTATTTACACATGTGTGTCCCATTTATTTCACTTAAGAGAGTGGCCTCAATGTGCATCCATTTAGGTATAAATATCTCTAGTTTCTCATTCTTTATGGCTGAGAAGTACTCCATTTTATAAAAAATATACATCTTTATCCAGTCTCCAGTTGATGAGCAATTCAGATGTTTCCAGGTTTTAGCTATTACAAACTGTGCCACTATAAACATGGGTGAGCATATATCACTATGGTATGATTCTTTTAATTCTTTTGGGAAGATACCCAGCAGAGGGATAGCTGGGTCAAATGGGACCTCTAGCCCTAGTTCTTTGAGGTATCACCATATTGATTTCCACAGTGGTTGCACCAGTCTGCACGCCCACCAACAATGGAGAAGGGGGACCTGGGATTTAGCTCAGTGGTTCCCATGCCTGCCTCTAAAGCACAAGGACAGAGTTCAATTCCTGGAACAAAAAACAAACAAACAAACAAACAAATGGAGAAGGGTTGCTTTCTCTCCACAACCCCTCCAACATTTGTTATTGGTTGATTTCTTGATAGCGCCATTCTTTCTGGGTTGAGGTGGAATCTCAGTGTTGTTTTCATCTGCATCTCTCGAATGACCAGTGAGGTTGAACATTTTTTCATATGTTTATTTGGTGCTTTTACTTCTTTGTCTGAGAAATGTCTGTTCATTTCAGATGTCCATTTTTGAATTGGGTCTCTATATTTGGGGGGGGGTCTGATTTTTTTGAGTTCTGTATATATTCTAGATAGCAGACCTTTGTCTGAGGAACAGCTGGTAAAAATTTTTTCCCACATTGTAGGTTGTCTCTTAGATCTGTTGGTGGTTTCTAATAAAATACTTAACAAATATTTAAGAAATATTTGTTAAATGAACAAAAATTTAATCTGTACCCCTAAATTATTCCAAAGACAAAACAGTAAAGTTATGGGCTGAGGCTATAATGCTACAACTGAAGAAGGAAAAATAGAAGAAGTTATTAGGGAAAGGCATTCATTTCTTGAGAGCTGAAAAGCAGAGGTTAAGTAAAAAGCAGTGAGAAGAAATCACAATAGAAACATGGGAAAATTGAGATATTTTAAGAGCAAATGTACTAATGCTGCAATACAAAATGAAGGAGACATACTGTACTATACTACAATATTAACCCTGCTATTGAGACTAGTAAAGAATGATTCAATTTTGAAATTATAAGATACCTAATTTCTTATTGTGTACTTCACTTGAAAGTGTAATCTCCATTTACAAATACACATTCTTCAAAATTTGAGAAAAATTATGCAAAATATAACTTAAGGAAGCTCAACTTTTAAGAATGGTTCCAAAATGAAACACTTTTCTTAATTAGAGAAGTGTATATTTTCATAATTACATTGTTTCACATCTCTTCACATCTCAGGACAATATTCAGAGTTAGATATGGGGGATCAGGAAAGGCTTTCTACATAACTCAGAATAATATTAATACTGAGCATTTACTGAGTGCTTACATGCAGGAGTTACTGGCCTAAATACTTTGCGTGCGATTAATTACTAATCAGTTTTACTAAGAAAAGTTTAACTCTGCAGTGGATATTATTGTTTCAAAAGACTTAGGTTACCTAACATGTTATCCTACCGTTTCATAGGGTGAAAATAATCTTTCCATCAGCCAAAGTGCCTAAGAAAGGGCTATTTCATATTTTTCTCCCTAGTTTCATGATATCAGTACTCATAAATCATGGAAAAACTTCATAATGTCTCTATGGCAGATGTGATCTTTTTTAAAATTGGGTTGGCAACTTTATTGATAGATTGGGAATGATTAGCTTCAAGCTTATAACAAAATTAAGGTGTCCATGAATACATTTGAATTATCTTTGGACATGAAGATTAAGAAAAATTGTGAATCACAAAAGAATGTGCCATGGAATCTCTGATTATTGTCTGCCAAAAGGGATAGTGCTTGGCAAAAACTGAACTTCCATGAATGGGAGAAAATTACAAAAAGTAAAGGCTCTGCATTCCCATGTTAAAAATCACATATAAGTAAATTTAACGAAAGTGAAATTCTTCTATATGACAGGATATTGTTTAAAAAGTAGTAGGAGGGCCAGGGATTTAGCTCAGTGGTTTCGCTGCCTGCTGCACAAGCACAAGGACCCGAGTTCGATCCCTGGTATCAAAAAAAAAAAAAAAAGTAGTAGGAGGAAAACTTTATTGTCACATATTCTACCTTTAGCCAATGTAGCTCTCCTGAGGCATACTCACTCTGATGTCAAGTTTAGATAATAAATGAGTAAATATCTTTGAGGTATCAGAAAAATCATTAGCAAGAAGTAGAGCTCCTAGAAGAAAATGGGACAGGAACAGGAGAGAAAAATAGACGTATGCCTTTAATGAACAAAAGGATCACACAGATGTTTCTGTAACTGGTTCACCAAATTTCAACAGGATTTTTTACTGAGATAATTATTGTTGTTGGAATTTTTGATTAAAAATTATGGTGCATTTTGACTCATACTTTTATCATCTTCATTACGTTAGATTCCATACTTCACCTGGACTGAGCCAACTGAAGTCTATGTAAATGATTCCTAATTGGGAGATCTGATTTCTGATCTGGACATCCATGTGAATATGTTATCAACTGAATCAAGTTCTATGTAGATTTCAATACACTGACATATACATAATGAGAATTTCCAAAGTAACTCACACAATCTTTTTGAATAATTAAGCCTCTACAAAGGAGTAAATTCAATCATTTTCAGTGATTTGCTGATTGTTCTAACCCACAGACTGATCAGTGTCAGAAGTGAGCTCTTTTTTTCTAGCTTCACAGAATTCTCCATTTTTTCTGACGTAAATTAATACAGGTGTGAGTGTGGGTAGGTGTTTTCTCTGTCATGGGAAACAAAATAATGTGCTTGCTTCACTCGGACAGCGTCTCCATTATGGATGTCAGGGATAATGATCTGACCTACAGGCATAAGCAAGTGTTCCTTAATTAACTGTCCACTCAGCTGTTACTCTTAGACTTTTCCCAGCTTTTATGTTTTCAGTAATAAACAATGAAAAATTAAAATACCATGAAAAAGGAATTATAGAGCAGGCGGTTGCAAATACACTGGTCCCACAGTTTCAACACAGACACACAGACAGATAGAGGGACTGACCTAAAGAGGAGAATAAAAGAACGGAGAAATTTTATGTAAGGTAATAAGAGTAACAAACTAAGGACAAATGATAAGGAATTTAGTGGATAGTAGTACTCCAGTGACAAAATCACCATCAACTACAATTGATCAAGTATAATGGAAGGAAGAGAAAAACTATGCAACAGACCCCCATAAAGTCTTTCTGTATATTAACCTTACAGGTGGTGGTGAAAATGTACAGATTCTAAATATTATGGAACTATAAGGTCATTATTTTACAGGATTTTTTTTACTTTGAAGATATTTACTTTATTTCTCTTGTTTAAGTGTTTGCAATGGAACCATGTTTACATTATAGGTGGAAAGCAAATCAAATGCACATAATGTTTTGTCTTATGTTTTATTTTACCTTATTCACAGAAACACAATATCAATTTTATGAAACTTATGTGCAAACTCAATATATTCATCTATGTGGTCAACTGATGGGAAGTAGAATCAGATATTTCAGTTTCAATACTATCAAGAAAAAGAAAAATCAGTTGTGATTCCAAGAAGAGATGAACTCAGTTGGTAAGAAAATATTTGTTTTATGCATTCTGAAACATCTATAAATGCCGAATTATAAAAATGTCAAATATGAGAGCATATTTTTTTAACAAAACCACAACTGGTATATGAAGGAACATATTCATATTTAAGAAAGATGTATTTTCATGAATATTTAAATTGCCTTCTCTATACGTAAGTAAAATTTAGGTGTCATTGCAAAACAACACTTCTTATATTTTGAGATCTGCATTAGTAAGCTTTCAACCTCTTGAAGACCAAAAAGATGTTTTGGTTTATGTTTTCATGTGTTTTTTTGAATTCACTTGATCATTTTGATCTTATTTTTCTATATACACACAGACTAGACTTATGTATTCTATGCTTATTTTTATTTCTAAATTCAAATTCTATAATCAAAAAGTATAAGCTAACTTGTCAAGTTTTTCTTTTATAAAATAGATTTATTCTTTTTTTTTTGTACTGGGCCTTGTGCTTGAGAGGCAGGCATTGGCACCACTGAGCTAAATCACTGACCCTAAATTTATTTTTTACAATAGCTTTAGGTTCACAGCAAAACTGAGAAAAAAGTACAACAAAGAGATTTTCCATATACAGTCTACCCACATTCATGCATTTCTGTCTTGATTATGAACATCCTCCAACAAAGTAGTACATTTGTTATAATTAATGAACCTATATTGACACATCACTATCACCCCAAATCCACAGTTTACATTATGGTTCATTCTTGGTGTGCAGTCCATGGGTTTGAACAAATTTATAATTACCTATGTTCACCATTATAATATAATACAGAGTAGTGTTACTTCCCTAAAAGTCTTCTCTATTCTAGCTACCTATCCCTCCCATTTGCTGTCCCTGGAAACCCCTGATCTCTCTACTATTTCCATAGTTCGTTTTTTTCAGAATGCCATAAAATTTGAAACATGTAGGACATTTAAGAGGAGCTTGTTTTACTTAGTAGTATAGATTTATAATTCTCCATGTCTTCTCATGGTTTGCTAATTCATTTCTTATTTAGTGATGAATAATATTTCACCATTTAGATGTGCGTTAGTTGATTTATCCATTCACCTATGGAAGGGATGTCTTGGTTGCTTCCAAGTTTTGACTACTATGAATAAAGCTGCCATAAACACCTGTGTGTGTGTGTGTGTGTGTGTGTGTGTGTGTGTGTGTGTGTGTATAAGTTTTCAACTCTTTGGGTAAATACCAAGGAGCATGATAGCTGAATAGTATGGTAAAAGTTTTTTAGTTTTATGAGAAACCTTCAAACTATGTTTTCAAGGTGATATTTTACATCTGACAATGGATGACATATTCTGTTACTCTACATTCACACCAGGACTTACTGTTAATATTCTGGATTATGTCCATTCTACTAGGTGTGAAGTAGTGTCTAATTCTTGATTTAATTTGTAGTTCTCTAATGGAATATGATGTTAAACTCCCTTTTATTTGATTTACATAGCATGTATACATCTTCTTTGTGAGGTTGTTCATTCAGATCTTTGGCCCCTTTTTAACTGGGTTGTCTCTACTTATTGATGAGTTTTGAGAGCTCTTTATATAGATTTTTTATAACAATCCTCTATAAGATGTGTTTTTTCAAACATTTTCTCTGATTTGGTAGCCTTTTTCTTTTATTTTCTTAGCAAAGACTTTCATGGAGAAGTATTTTAAAATTTTAATTTAGTTTAGTTTCTCAATTATTTCTTTTGTGGATCATGCCTTTGGTGTTGTATCTACAATCATCACCAAACCAATGTGTATCTACACTCATCACCAAACCAATGGTCTTTTTTTTTTTTTTTTGTATTTAGAGCTAACGTTCATTTTGAATTGATTTCTGTGAATGATGTAAGGTATGTGACTACTTTTTTTTTGTTTGAAGACATCTGAACCACTTGAACAAAGCATTATATTACTCCATTATATTACCCTTGCTCCTTTGTCAAAGATTTGTTGATTATAATTATGTGGATCTATTTCTGGACTCTATATTCTGTTTCATATATATATTTGTCTTTTTCTCACACTGCCTTGATTACTGTAACTGCATAGTAGGCTTTGAAGTCCAGCCAGGTACTATCTGTCCCCTACCTTTGTCAATATTGTGTTGGGTCTTCAAGTTATTTTGTCTCTCCATATAAACTTTGTTGCTAGCCACAAAATAATTTGCAGGGATTTAATTGGAATTGCATTGAAATTACAGATCCAGGTGGTAAAAATGGGTAGCTTCACAGTATATCTTCCAGAGGAAGAGGAAAATCTGCTCACATCATGGCAGCTAGGAAAAAGAGTGAAGGGATGAGCTGGGAGAGGAGATTCATCCTTCTAGGTCATGCTCCCAATGTCCCACCTCTTCCTACCAGACCCTGCTTCCCAAAAGCCAGCCAGCTATACAGCCCCATAATCCAATCACCTTCCCAAAGCTCCTCCTCTGAGCACATGAGATTCTTGGGTGGGACATCTAGATATAAACTATAGCACTTCCTAGCTACTAGCACAGAATATCCCTACATTCATTTAGTTCCTTTGGTAATTTCATTTCTTTGAGTTGTATAGTTTTCCTTAAACAGACCTTTTTAAGATTTATAAATAAGTACTTCCTCTTTGAGATGTACTAATGTAAATGACATTTTAAAAAGTTTTGAAATTCCTCTGACCCATTTTAGGTATGTAGTAAAGTGATTAACTTTGTAGATTTGTCTCGTATATTAAAAATTTCATGCAATTGCTCGTTAATTCCATGAGGTATTTTATTTGTTTGTTCTTTGTTCATGTTTTGTTTTAATTTGATTTTTGGCTTTCTTGTCTAATTCTTGCGAAGTTTTTACACAAAAGATCATGTCTCAGTGAATTAAGCCACTTTTATGACTTATTCTCCATTTATATTTGTCTCCATCCTTTTTCTTGTCTTATTGGAATTAGGTAGGAATTCCATTATGCTGAGAAGCCATAGTGAGAGAAGGCATCTTTGGCTTGTTCTTATCATCAGGAAACTTCTAATTTCCCACCATTAAGTGTGATGTTAACTGTAGGGTATTTTTTGTAGATATTTTTTATCAAGTTGAGGAAGTTCTAGCTCTGCTCCTGGTTTACTAAGAGGTGCTTCATAAAATTATGAAATTTATCAAATTCTTTAAAAAATGTATTAACATAATTCTGTAAGTTTTCTTCTATTGTTATAATGGACTACTTCATTTCTGAAGGTTCAACCAGTCTTATATAACGTATAAATACCACTTGGTCACAGTGTACGTTCTTTCCACACATTGTTCAATTCGATACTATTTTTTGAAGGATTTTGCATGTATGTTCATGATACATATGGGTTTCTAGTTGGTATAACTGTCTTCATTTGGTACTATGGTAATGCTGGCCTCACTCTGTTTAATACTCTGAACAAGGTTGGAGAGAATTGGTATAATTCTTTCCTGAAATGTTTGATAGAATTCACCAGGGCCCACATTTGCATCTGGTACTTCCTGCTTTGGAACTTTATTAGTTATAGACTCAAAGTGCTTTAATAGGTTTGGGCATATTATCTATTTCTTCTGATCTGAGTTTTGACAGATTTCAAGGAATTGACTCATTTTATTTAAGTTATCAAATAGCTTTCATAGTATTACTTGATTATCTTTTCAGTGTCCGTGAGCTTTGTAGTATTGCTTCTGCTTTTATGATATTTGTAAATTTTGTCTTTTCTCTACTATCCTAGTTAGAAACTTACACATTTTATAAATATTTTCAAAGAAGTAACTTTTGGTATTTTGGATTTTCTGTATTGATTTCCTATTTTCAATTTCATTCACTTTTACTCTATTTTTTATTATTTCTTTCTTCTACTTCTCTTGGATTTAATTTGTGCTTCTTTTGCTAGTTTCCTGTTGTTTCCTATGATTACATATCTTTCTTCTTTTAGAATATATGCATTCTAAATAAATTTTAAAAAGAAAAGAAAAGAAAAAGAATATAAGCAGCCAGTGTTACACATTTTCTCATGGCATTGCTTTCATTGTGTCCCATAACTTTTGATACTTTTTTTTTTTTTTCATTTTAAGTTAGTTCATAATTTTTAAAAAATTTCATTTGTGTATTTTTTTCTTTGGTACCAGGGGTCAAACTTGGGACCTTGCACTTGTGAGGCAGGTGCTGGAACCACTGAGGTAAATCCCTGGCTCATTTGTGTATTTTTTATTCTGGTCTTATTTAGAAGTGAATTTGAAGAATATCTTGGTATTTACAGCTCTTTATTACTCATTTAAAGTTCAATTCCATATTGTATGTACTTTGATCATAGCCACCTTCTTTATTGTCCTGTTTTGCTTCCTTACCCTTCTTCCCAGGGTACTTCCCATTCAACCATTTTGTCCTGTTATTTGTAGATAATCTCTGACTTTTAATTGGTAAATTTAGACTGCAGATCATCAAAGTGATTATTAACATAGTTGGATTAATAGTATATTTTGTTACTCTTCTATTTTTTTCTGTTCTTTGTTCCTACTTTTGTCTTTTACTCTTTTTCTGACTTTAAACATTTTATATAATTAAACATTTTATATAATTTTATCTTATTCCTTACTGTAACAACCTTTATGTATGTATATATTACTGTTTTAAGTTGCTCTAGTTTTAAAACTGATTTAGAACTAATCAAAATTCACTCTCAAATAACATTATACTGCTTTTTGAGTAGAATGATAACCCTTCCTCTTCTCGTTTATATCGTTACTCTCAATCATTTCACATTTATAAGCATATATGTACACATACATATACATAATTGAACACATTGTTACAATTTTTATTTATTGGGTCACAAAATCAAGAAGCATAAAGAAAATAAAAGTTTTATGTTACCTTCACCTTTTACCTTTTTGGTTTTCATCGTTTCTTTATGTAGACTCAAGTACCTGACTTATATCCTTTCCATCTCTCTAAACAACCTAGAATTGTTTTCATAAGACAAGTATACTGCCAACAAATTTATTTTT